TTATATGCTAGCGAAAACAGTCAATCAAATCATTTCTTTCACAAACTTCTATGATACAATAAAGAAGATTGCAGTCAAGGCATAAGTAATAAGTTTGTTTGACATTGTAAAGATGATATGTTTGGAGACACTCTGATGAAAACTATTATCTCATGTATACCTGATCTTGTAGGTGTGGAACCAGGTTGATCTTTATAGGTTACTTTATCTGTACTTCCTTAAAAAATATAAATTTCAATATAAAAATTAGTTACATTGTATTTTAATATATGGAACATTATAAATAGAAAGTATTTATATAAACAAATAATATTGTTTGAAGAAAAAAGGAAGAAAACTTCATACTTAAAAAATCAATAAAAAAGTTTTTATGTATATTTTATAATAAAAAAAATAAAAACCTCGAAAAGCTGTAAACTGATCAGAGTTGTTGAAGATAATGAATAATATCGCAACTGATACTTTACTTTATTGCCCAGTGGTGAAGAATCAAGACAGAATTTTCCCAAAAAATTACCTTGAAGACATTCACACAAATATCGCACTCTATAATCTGAACATGGAACAGGGAAATTATCTGCTCCATTACATGATAATCCTGTTTCCAGTTTACAAGTTAAAACTTCCTGGTTACTTTCTGATGAAACATTAGCTGTTGTTGTACATTCTATTTTGGTGACTTTGCCATCTGAACAGAAAGCTTTAAGTTCTGCTGCAGTCATAGATTCATGTTCATCACCATCTCCTGTGAACATTCCAGTAGCAGGCGCATGCTTGTTCACATACTTTGACCACCGTGTTGTGCATTTTTCTGAAAATGAAATGATATGATACTTTAATGTCAGTGTCCAAAGAGATTAATATTTTCAATTGTAGCAAACTGCTTAAATACCTACATTCCAAATCTTATGAAAAACTAGTTGAAAACTAATGATATTGCATTTTCCAAATTTCAAGATCATTGGGTTTACTGCAGGGAGGTTAAAATTCATAGTTCATAATACCTACATACCAAGTTTTATTGTTATCAATTGAAAACTAAAATGAAAATTAGTTTAGTTTCCCATCTGAATAACTAGATGTTTTTCCAAGTCAGAAGGACTAAGGTGGGTGCAATAAATGGAGAGGATATAACATAAATAGTACTTACTTGGGACAGAATGAGTTGGTGTTATACCAGTAACCCATGGAGTGTCTTTTGTAACACCTAAAAAATAGTCACCGAATACTGAATATTTGTGAGTATTATGCCAATTTTTTTACCAAGTAAAGCGCTTGCCAAACTGGACATTACAGTGAAAAATGTGTGTTAAACATTTTTCCATCGTAAATTGTTACAAGTTTTTTCAATATGGGGTCAACACGATTCATTAAATCCTCAATTCACTGTTCAATCTGAATTACACCGCACTTTTATCCCATACAGTCATCATAGAGAATAGTACACCACCATTAGGGGGCCATACATTTTAAATTAAGTTAAATTGCCATCACTTCCAACAATTGGAAAATTTCGTTCTTAATGAAGACAATCCTCATTTTGGAATTCAAATCCGAAAAGTGATGGATGCATGCTGAAATTTAACTTTATCAATTGGCATAGGACACAATAGAAAACAAAGATGATCTCACCTGTTCTGGGTGTGGTAACACTTACACCACCATGGTTGGTTATACGAGTCACTGAAACTTTCAAAGAAAACCAAAGATTAATTAAGTACCAGAGCCCTAATTCATGGTGTATTTTACAATGCAAATTTATCATGTGACAATGATGTGGTTTTTTCTCTTTTGAGGACATATTGAAAGAGCTGCTAAATTCGAGATTAAACAGTAATAATGAAAATTTTCATCTTACCTGGACATTTACAATAGTATCTGACTTTATAATCAGAACATTCTATGGGGAAATTATCAGCACCCAAACATCGCAGACCAGATTTTAGTTTACAAGTCAATTGTTCATTGTTGCTGATTGATGATACATTTCGTATTGTCAGACATTCGATATTTGTCACATGACCATTTGGACAGAAATTCTTCAATTCTGCCGGTGTCATAGTTTCAAACTCGTCCCCATTGGCAGCAGGTTTATGTTTGTTGATGAATTTAGACCATCTTTCAACACACTGGGTAGTCGTGGGGGGTGTGATATCTATAGAAACTTTTTCATTAAAATGTGAAAATTAACAATTGTGGCTAGAATGCTATAAAAAGTTTTATCAGCAGATATGAGGTCAAGAATTCAGAATTGTTTTAATCATTTTGCTGAAAGTTTGATATAAAAGGCTCAATATTTAGTTTCAGAGATCACAGCTCAATTTTCTTGATTATGTCAGCTTTTCAAAATATCCAAGGCTATTATGTTTTTATAATAATATTTCTGATAGTTTTGCAAAACTTACGGCACTGATGTTCATCATTCGTACAGTCTTTAATACCATCACATCTTGATCGTCCAGGAATACATTGTCCATCTGAACATTTAAACTGGTCTGGTTGACAGTGACTACATTCACAGCTACAGGTCAACACATTTAATTTCTTTGTTCCTCCCTGAAATTAATCAGTTTGATTTAGAAAATAAAGAGAGGCAAGAAACTGACATGACAAGCTTCCATTTGTGCCATTTGAAATTCGCATACTTTGCAGTCGTCGATTGTGGTCTAAGTCCAAATAGCTATGGCTAGGGAAATAACTTACCACTGAACAATCTGGACATGTTTTTCTAGTACACAATACTTCTCCATTGAAACATTGACATGTATCACAGTTCTTATTTTGAGTTACATCCCCTGGCTAAAAAAGAAAATGTTTCAAATATCAAAATAAGAGAATAGCCTAGTATTCTAGCATGTCTACTGAGTGAAATCTTTGTATGGCTCAGTGAACAGTACAGTTAAACACTATCATCCAGTCTATTGGATTAGACTTCCCCAGATTCCATTTAGTTGTTAGTTTATTATAATTAGTAAGAAATTATAAGAATTCAAGATGGTGAATCAACTCCAGATACAATAACTTTGCCATACAGTTGGTAATATGAAATACTTTTCAGGAGCTGCAACAATTTCATTATTGAGACAAGATAATGTGGATAGACCAACAACTTTCCCTACAAAATCAGTACAGATAGACAGCCAGCTGTGTCAACAAAATCATTACTTACTCGAATGATCTTTCCATCCACTTCACAAGGACATTGTGATCTGGGAACGCAGGCATATCCATTACAGAATAACCCAATATGACAGTATAGAGGACATTGAGATCTATCCATACCCACATAACAGGAAGCTACCGGAATATTATAGTCTCCTGGTGAGGGAGATGGTGTAGGTGGCACTGAAAGAAAACAAGATTAGGGTAGTTGGGCAACATTATGCAGTGTGCAATAAGAAACTGCAAGGACAGAAGCAATAGCCTACTCTTTTTAAATTTTGAATTATTCATTGATCTTTTATGTGAACAGCCAATAGCAAACAGGGCCTTGTTTTTTCCCATCAGAGTGATGTGTAAATACACTCAATTTAATTAGTAATCAAACATGGTAAATTTTCGTAATTCCAATGATTTCTGTATGCATAACTTTATCATCTTTTCTTTTCAATGGCATCAAATTTTTAAGTTAGAATGTATTTTTTCCAAGAGAGCAAACTTTTTCTGTTTTAATTTCATTGGGCAATTCAACTGAACTATAAAAATCACAAAAATCAATTCCCACTGTAAAATGTAAAATTCCACCATTGTGTCAAATTTCTATTAAAATAAGGGATTAATCTAAGAAAATTTTTTCAACTTACTGCAGTCTTTAGAGTGTTTCAGACAACCAAGTCGAGCTTCGTAATTGTAACATTTTTTAAAGGTCTTGGATCCTGATTGGTCAGCATGTTTACAGCGTAAACCATCCCACAAATTACACGTAACTTTCTGTCCCGCTTCATCATATCGAGTTCCATCAGGCGTGGCTGTACGACATTCAATCTTCACAGGTTGACGACAATATTGACTGCGAGCCTGAATCTCATTGATTGGTTCCCTATCTCCGTCAGAGCCAAGGGTTACTGCATGAGTATCCACCCATTTATCCCAAAACACACAATTATCTGAAAATTAAAAAAGAAAAATGATTTATCTAAGCATACGATATAACACAACTCTGGCCCAACCCAGTACCTAACTCGTATACCAATGTTATATAGATGGTTGACGTTTAATTTCATTTTATATTGAAATTAATCCTAACTATGAGATAATTATGGTAGTGAGTTCTTAGTGAGTCACATGATCAAGTGTTTTGTGCAAAAACATTATGCCACTCGATAATCCAAGATTAACTGTATGGAAATTTGATTGGTCGGTTGTAACCACACATCAACCAATCAATCATGAAATTATATAAAATATATGATGAAAGTTCAGTGATAATATTAACCAATCAGATTACTTGATTATGAAATATGACCACCTACCAGGTATATATGATGTTGGTATAGTTGGTATTAATCCTGGAGAAATACCATCTATTGTATTGGGTTTGGCAGCTGTAAGGAAACAAATAACATAATAGCCTATAAAGCTATACAAAAGTACAAAATTTCCCACACTTAGGGACAGATATGAAATTTTGGTGTCACTTGATTGGCGAGTTCTGGACAGGTTTCATCCGTTTCAATTCTGGTCAAAATTTAACACCACAGAGCCAGATGTCACATTCAAAATGTTCCCTTCTAGTCTTCTATCTGCCATTTTGAAATCTGTCCAAATTTCAGTGGTATTCTTTCTGTGCTCTGTTTCTACTTGTTTTATTCAATATCTGGTTGATACTATGAATCCTGAATGTGCACTAATCGAGTGGCCCCATGATTACAAAATATTACATGAGCATGCTTTTTTGGGGAAATTATGGCAAACAACTGAGTTAAAGAAGTCGTAAAGCACAAAAACACTTTCTGCAGGGACAAACATTCTATTATTATCTATAATCAGTTGAATATCCATTAAGAACTGTGTTGTCTTAAGTATTTATAAATGAATGCAAACAAATAACAGCTTGACATACAAGAACAATACATTCCTATAATGAAATGAAACTTACTGGAGTATGACTGATAACAACCATGTATCTCCATTCGTAAAGCTATTTTATTGTACCATGTTTGTGGTAAGATACGAAGATATCGAGTTCGTATTGGTGTTTGGAATATGTTGGTTACTGGTGTTTCACTGTCATAATTACCACTAAATATCTACATACAGAAAATAACATGAACACACCAGTTTTCAGTAGATATTGGTTAAAGAACTTCTTAAGATTTGGATAGTGAACGAAATAAGCAGCGAATAAAAACAATATGAATTGAAAATTCTAGACTGTATTTCAGAAATCCCCAATATTATTCATCTTAATATCATTACACCCAAAGATCAAAATAAGATTGTAGAAAAACACTATTACCTTGTCATTTCCAATACTATCTGTTAACGTGGCAAAATTACTACCATCTTTGCTGAATTTGACAATGTATGATGTAACATAGTTAGGGACATTGGGTCGACCTTGGGTTGTTATTCCACTTAATACACGCATATCTTCAAAATCAACCTACAATAAATACAAATTATTAGCATTAATAGTGGAAATTTAATGGAGTTTTACATCTTCCTTTCTGCTCTGAACTAATGAACAGAAGGTATGAATTGCACTATTGCATCCTGAAGTGCATGGGGCATCAGTTTATTGTTATATCCAATTGATCAGATGTCAGCCCCTCCTACATGTGTCAGTGACAAGGGGAGAATGTGTCGAATAATCTGAAGATTATACCAGAATAGAAGTCTGGACTTCTAAGTTTGTGGGGGTACCCCAGGTTTCACTCTGGAGTGGTGCAATTTGATAACAAGAGAAGGCTGATAGAAGAAGATATTTCTGCAAAATATAATGCCATACTGACCTGAATAAATTGTAGTCTGTTATCAACAGCTGCCAACCAGCCTGTCTGTGATCCAAGCCGAGCCTGAGATGGAGAATGTTGACCATCATAATATGAAGAAGCTGACAACATGTAATCTCTTATAGCTCCATTACCCATTCCCATTTCATCTGTACACACATCTACAATCCCCAATATAATTCAACTTTATATAATGAGCCCAACACCCACAAAGATCAAAATATTAAGATTCTTGGTATAGATTGGTCGGTAGCGAAATGGGTTGGTATCTGCTATGGCAGTGGGATAGCTCAATCAGATGGAAGCTCATTGGATTTTACCTGCTCAGTGGGAATACTCATTTAGTAGCAATTTTGATTGGCATAATTATGTGAGGTCAGTGGGATAGCTCAGTTTGTAGAAAGGTCTTTTTGTCTGCAAGGAAATAGAATTCAATCAGTAGCAAGAGGAATTGGTATCTGCGGGCAGCTGAATTGGTGTCTGCTGCATGTAGGTGGTTAGTTACAGTAGGAATGGCAATGGAACATCTCTGTCTGATGCCAAGGCCAGTTTTGTGAATCAGCAAACCAACTGCATTCATTATAGTACAAGAACCATATTCTACATGGTTTGCATATTAGACAATTTTTTTTCAGATATAGCCTGAAATACAGGTGTTATCATTTGTTTAAATACCTTCGAGTCATATTACCTGTAGGTTTGGGTACAATAAATAATGGTGGGGTGGGTGTTACCATGGTGTTAGGTGTTGTTGAAACTTGTTCTAGAATACAGAATAAAAATAAAATTTATTAACCAAACACACATTCCTGTCAATTTTTAGAGCTTATAGAACTCCTTCCAATTTATAGCATATGCACATCCTTAAGTGAATTTCTCACCAAAAATAATGCACAAAAAATATCAAGTTGGCATAATGCAGACACCATAATAATTAGTGGTAATAACGCACAGTAAAAGTAAATGTGTGAAATAACTTTAAAATATAAGGAAATATGACAAAATTTTCCTTTTTCTTCAACACAAGCCATCAAATCAATGTGTGGGTTAGTTTTACAATATCAAGAGAGGTGAGTTATTGCTTTCTCCATTGAACACAGATCTACAGGTTTTGTTTACAAGGAAAAATCATCTTTGTTTTATCCATTAACATCAATTGTAAGAGTTATCCTTGATGGATTAAAATTTCCTTATTTGTCAAGTCAAAAATTCCCTATTCCACAATACTAAACCAAAAAGAGATATCTCCACAGTCAAAAAGTACAGAAGAGTTCAGCCACTCAATCACAAAATGAGAACAGGTGTGTAAAAAAGAAAAGAATCAACCTACTAGGACATTTACAGTAGTATCGAACACGGTAATTGGAACATGGAGCAGGAAAGTTGTCAGCATTTTCACATTGAAGACCAGATTCCAGCGTACATGTCAAAACTTCCTGGTTGCTTTCAGAAGATACATTATTGGTTGTGGTACATTCCACCTTTGTAACCTGACCATACGGACAGAAAGCTTTCAGCTCATCTGGTGTCATTAGTTCATGTTCCCCTCCATCCATGTGATTAAAACCAGAATACGGCGTGTGTTTGTTGACATACTCGGACCACAAACTTGTTTTGCAAGGTGTTTCAGTACCTGGTGCTATAAATATAATGGAATTTTTAGCAAATCATTTTTTCAAATAAAGATTGAAAATAGATGATTTATTGAAGCTCACAAGAATTTTGCTTGCTGATCCAAATTAGAACCCAGAATGATGATTTTATTTTTTTAAGGGAATTCTGATTACACCATGTGTCAAGTTACTCTGCTCTTACTGGCTGTCTTCATATCTAATGTGTGCAAGAACCCAGGAGAAAATTATATTTTCAACATTTCTAATAAATACATTCAAATCAAAAATTTAACTTACCTTGACAACCAATGACATCAAATTTGAGAGCTATTGCACCATGCCAACTAAGAGGTAGCAGACGGACATATTGAGCAGTGGTTGGATACATTTGTTGTTTCACTGTTGTCTTATCATCATAGTTACCAGTGAATATCTGCAAGACAAATCAATCGCTTAGTTTTTTAGCTCCTTACGTCTTCTATCCTTGTCTGCTATAATCATTCAATGGTAGTTTTATAATACCATACCTTAACCGTTCCAGAAACCTCTTCATAATATTTATATTTAATTCCGTCAGTAGAATATTGAACTTTGTATGACTTCACCCATTGGTCAAAACCATGACGACCAGCTGTTCTGATATCGGTAATAACATGGGGTACATCAAATTTCACTTCAATCCATTGTCCAACATCATTCTTCTTTGCTATCCATACACCAGTGTAGTCACCTTGTAAAACCCAACAAGAAAACAAATTAAACAAATGAAATGAAATAAATGGAGTTTTACGTCCTACTTTTCTAAAACCCTGTTGGCTAATGAAGACGGGCAACACCATGCAGGGTGCAATGAGGGAAATTTTGCCAGGACAGCAGCATTAGCCTGATCTTTTTCGATTTCCAACTGTCGAGGGATCAGAAATTAAACAAGATATTGTAACTAAGTGCTAAATATACCAAGACTGATAATGGTGTAGACAATAGGATGTTATCTAAGCTAGTTATAAGCTTGTTGTAAAGCAGGAAGTATAAGTATATGACTACAATAACCCTCCCCCATCCCTCTCTAAGAATTGACATTCCTAATGAGTTCCTTAAAATACCAGTGTATTGGCCAAAACAAAATATTGTGGTCAGATTTTCAAGAAGTTATCAGACATTAAATGATGTAAGAAGCTCTCACTTTCCACCAATAATTTCTTCGTATCGTTAAGATAAAGTTCTGACCTGTGGGTGTGTGTCCAAGTATTCCTTGGTTTGGTCCGCTATAAACAGACAGACTGGAATTGGCTTTAATATGGCCATCTTTAATTGGGATAGAGTTGACTGTATTCATATTTCCAGCACATACTGAAAACATAGTCAAATCTCATTTTGTTATACATTGAGTGAAATGAATGGAGTTTTTGAAAGTTGTATGTCCTACTGTCAACGCGCCAATAAAATGCAGCTTTATGGTATTTTCTGAAAGGTTTGCTTATGAAATGCAATTCATCATTCTAATTTATTGTACCTGATTGTGATGGGCAAGGTCCATGTGTGAAATTTGTCAAGACAATAACATATTCTGATTCTTCCTCATTTCGAATTTCAAATGGGATGTTTTGCCTGAGGCACACATCAGTTTCTTGTTCCATCTGGAGGGCTAGATGTTTGTACCTGCACCACATACCAGAACCTCCTTTAGGAAAGAAAATCTTTCCAAATGTTTTATGTGTATCAGGGACACTGATATCATTGATTTGCCTTTGGGTCTTTTATTGAACGATGAAACTTAAAGCCATGAAGAAGGGAATACACACACAGTTTTGAAAATCTCTCCACAATCTCGAATCCTCTATCAAGAAATTGAAGCCTACCTGGTCTAGTGGTGATGACATGGGTAACAGGAGGTGGAGTAGAATGAGCCATTGTTGGAGGTGTCAATGTATATGGTACTGAAATATAAGATTTCAACACATAATAATAATAATAATAATGCATTTATATAGCGCCTATTTTCTAGAAAGTTCTACTCAATGGCATATCTGGTATTCACAAGTAAATAAGTGTGTCTTTAGAAGAGTTTTGAATATATCCACTGACTTTACATCTTTAACATGTTTTGGTAGGTTGTTCCATGGCACAGGTGCTACAACTGAAAAAGCACGATCACCAGAGTAAGCTCGCAAAGTTTTAGGCACAACAAGATCTTTTCTTGTTGTTGAACGTGTACTCCTTTTTTTAGTTTCTATCAAATCACTTAGGTGGGTTGGGGCAAGGCCCTGTATACACTTATATGTGAGAAGAAGTATTTTGTATTGAATTCGTCTGTTTATTGGAAGCCAATGAAGAGTCTGTAGGACTGGTGTTATATGATAACATGCTCTTGTTTTAGTATTGAGTCTTGCAGCAGTATTTTGTATTTTTTGCAAACTTCGGAGACTGGATGCTGGTAGACCGTACAGTTGCAATAGTCCATAGTCTTATGCTGTCAATACAGCATTCAACACATCTAGTTGGTAACTTGATACAGATATTGAAAGATTCAGAAAAACCACAAACCATATGGCTTTCTATCTGCCATCTTAGACTTAAATGTGATATTCTACAATGAGAAATATCACATCTGCAATCAGGGCTGTTGATTCCACTCTATTATCTAGATATGTTTGTTAGGGCAGCTCAAATGTCCAAGGAACAATATCTTTTGTCGGACATCAAGTATATAAATCATTGTCTGTCATTTAAAGTCTGTGTTGGGTGTTATAGAAGATACTCTCCTATAGAAAGACTGGCCACGTCTGTCAAATACAAAATACAAATACAAAATCCAAATAAAGTGTATCGTTAAAAACAGCCCAAGAACTCTCATGAATATCACAGATTATACTTACCACACACTTTACAATGGTATTGAATTTTATAATCTTGACATTTATTCGGGCGATTATCAGCGTTATTACACATAAACCCTGTTTTCAGGTCACACATAGTAATCTGCCCTGTAGACAAGGACATCTTGTTTGTCTGTACATCATTACAGGTTATATCAGTTATTTCCCCTCCTGAGCAGAAGTGATATTGAGACAGCAGACGTTCTGGAGTTACGCTTTCGAAATCGCCTCCATGGCTTGGATTATTTTCATTAATCCATTGAGAGACATAGTTGTAGCATTTCAGAGCCCCTGTGTAAGGGGTTGGTGTTTTTTGTGTTGGTAACATTGGTGTTGGAGGAATCTTGTTTGAACATAAAATATTTTGCTCATCACAATGGAATCTAACTTCATATTCAACACACTTTCCAGATGGTTGTAGTTTATCCTCGCAGACCAGCCCGCTATGTTTCAAATCACAGATCACACCTGATTGGTTACCGCTATTCACTGAATTATGAGACACTCGTTCCCGACATTCAATTGCTGTGATCTGATTGTTGGGACAGAATTCATAAAATGGCCGTAGTTTGGACAACAATTCCTCTTCACCATACTGAAAGAAAAATTTGATGATTCAAATATTGGTTCAATTGTTTAAGAATAATAACTTAGATTCTAAATGATCTAGTAAATCAGCTGTTTCTTGACCAAACCTCTTAACAAAATAACAATCAAGATTCTTCAGGATCCTGTCTACCAGCTGATTCTTAATCAAACATCTTGGAAATGATCTTTCCAGTACAGTTGGAATAATGAGATAAGACATGCTTTACCTCGCTCTTCTCAAGTGAATGCATCCATGATGTCCATCCACAGACTGGTTTAATCACTGGGATAATTCCAGTAACTCCAGTCGGGACTGGGACAGTTCCACTATGTCGGGCTGCAATAGAGAAATACTTAATTTTCAACCAAGGGATTAGTTTCAGGATAACTCAAGATGATCTCTGGTTAAAACAATTTTACAGAGGAAAAAAGCATCATAAATAGCATACACCTTAGTTCTAAGCAGAAATAGTGTTTTCAGAAAATTACTCATTCCAGCTCTAACCCAAATTTAACATGGATGCTAAAGGCTGTAGGAAATTGTGCTTGGTACATTGGCAGATTCATTTGGTCAGAATGCTTATAGAGGACAAGAGTTAACATTCTTACTTGTGATGCATGTCATATCTTGACAGTAGAATCGGACTTCGTAGTCATAACAACCTTTTGGATTAGCATCCTCATAACATCTTAAGCCTTTCTTTAGATCACAGCTGACTTTTTGACCTGAGTTTTTGGAAGAAACACCTCCAACAGTTCGACACTCAATGAACTGTGGATCTGCACAGAATTGGTTTTCGAGTCTAAGAAATAAAATATATGTGAACCTTTAGTGTGATATTAGGTATCATGTATAAATAACTGAATATACTAAGTTTAGAGTGATACGTCTTAGAATGAGCATAAAATTTAAGTTCTCAAGAATGGTCAATATGAGTAATATTCATCAGTGAACTTTCCTGGTGTCATAAAGTTACAACAGAATCCCATGTAAAATCTGGAAAATTCATAAAAATAAGTAATTATTGAAAAACGCTTTTTTCATAGTTAATTGCATATTTATGGATAATCACTAAGTTTTTTGGATTTATCGGATTATATAAGGATCCTGTTATGTTATTGATGACACCAGGTATATCTACTGATGGCCAAGTTTAAAATTCTTAAATTTTATGTTCATTCTAAGACATAGTATCACTTTAACAACCTGGAAGTGACAATATTATCAACCTCAGTGGTTTGTTTATAATTGTTTAAAGGGACACCAAAAATTAGATTTCAATATTACGGAAGACCGAATTTGAGTTCTGATAAAAAGCAATTTATCCAACTCTCTATTTAAGCAAACAAAGGCTGGGGCAATCTTTTCTATTAAAGTATTGTTCCTACCTTAAATCATACAAAATTTCAAAATCACCGTCATTGGTTGGTTTATCATGATTCATCCATTTGGTCCAACCACAGTCAGGTTGTATGGTGGGGGTGACAGTGTTAGGTGTAGGCACGTACTGACAGTCACTAGTACAGACAACCTTGTTGTTGTTACATGTACACAATGATGGGCACGTTGTATTCTGGTTGTACCAGGTTTCTAAAGGCTGAAATAAGAAATAAATGTCATTTGGCCAAAATGGAAATGATATATTGAACTTAATTGTGGTTGTTAATACCAAATTGTTAAGGCTAAAATTTACTCAAACATACAATAATGAATGTCTTCCAATATGTCAAATATTAAAGTTATATCAGGCTTTAATATAATTCAATAAAAAAATTACTCAAGTCTCCAACTATTAACTTTTAAGGTGTAAAGGGTATAATTTTAGTAAGTCAACCTAATGGCTTATTACTGTGTGTTGATTTAAGATTTTTCAGGCAACCAGGTCATGTTGAAAAAAATTCCAGATGGCCTACAAAATCAATACATACAAAGCATTCTACAAAATATTGATGCAAATTGATGGTTACCTGGGCAACACCGCCATCTTGTTTCAAACATGGGCACATTTCTTCTTTGACACACATGACTTTATTTTTCAGCTTGTAACCAGGTTGACAGATTGGCGTAGAAATTTCTGTTGTTTTTCGGCAACCAGATACACAATCTGTTGGTTGACACGATTCTAGAGCAGAATTCATCTGACACATGTCGTCACATTTATACGCACAGGAAGTGAATGTCTCACTAGGTCTGCAAGTAACTGTAAATCAAAAACAGAATGAAAAATGTGAAAAATTATCAAATGCACAAATACTAATAGGTAAA